ATCTAACACTTATTTGAACGGCGAGTCTACTTTTAGTTAGCGGTTAAGCGCAAATAATCAGTTCCCAACCGATAGCTATAACCTTGATATCATAGACGTCCTTGCAAAACAATATGGCCCAACGAGCTACACTGACTGGAACTGTTGTTCCCTCAAGGTCTTACCATACCACAAAAGTCAGTTGGATAGTGGTAAGACAACGAAGCATCCACTGTTATGGTGTGAATTGTGACGCTATGATGTGCGTTCGTGGTCTAAGTCGTACTGTTGACTGGACAGGAGTGTGACAGCAGTAAAGTGTTTTCCATGGACGATCAAAAGTGCCACTTCAGTACTGTGTGATGGACCTCAACCAGACGTTTTTTTGTCTCTGTGATCGCCCACTAAATCTTCAGGTACCTTAAGGCCAACCAGTTTTCTATGGTGTGGGCAGCCGGAAAGTGTCGACTTCCCTCATAGTTCTGTCAGTAGTCAAGTACCATCAGGTCACTGTCCTCCATGATCAATATCTTTACCGTCTATCTTCCTTCACATCTCTCGATAAACCTCGCTACTTCATCTTTAATTTAATCCAACTCTCCAGCTATTGATAATGACCCGACTTCAAAAAACAGCATCCGTGGTTTCCTAGAACTGCACTCTAAGAAACACATTGGAACTTTCAATCTCCACACCCTTTGTCTAATCGCCCAACAAGCTACGCTAGCCGAAACTTTGGCATCTCGTGCCATAGATGTCTGCTGTGTTTGCGAGACACGCATACAGGACTTAAGTGCGGTTAGTAATCTAACCTCACCTGACCGATTTGTTGAATCTGCAAATCTTGTCCTTAGAATTCCTGCAGATGCGATGGCTAGTTCTTATGGTCTTGCAGGTGTAGGTATAGCAGGAGGTGTACTGCTCGACTGGATTCCAGTTGACAGTCGCTTATGTGCTGCCCAACAGTGAGGACTCAAAGGAGTAATGAAACTCGCCGTTGTTTCTTCACAATATCTACTTACGCACCTCTGACTATAGGTCGGATGAGTTCTGTCGAGGACTGTGTAGCCTCCTGATGAAAGCCAAACATTTAGCAAGTGGCTTCAAAGCTCAAGGGGGTAGCCTAATTCTGACAGGAAGATACTTGAGCGTCACTTTCGGTATCCTAGCCGAACGAACAGATAATGGCGATCACTCACCACAACTGTGCTTAGAAAACTATATATTTCTGACCAGCACGGTATTCACACACACGGAAAGACACTGCCTGACATGGCGACCACCAAGCTCAACTCAGTGATGAGCATAGAGAATAATGCCACCAGTTAACGCAGGAGAGGGTCAGTGGAAGACTAGTGATCCCCCTGGAAAGTGGTCATGCATCGTATGTCTATGCCTAAATGGACGCGGGAAAATGACAACAGCAAGACCTTTGCGAGTGATGCATGACGATGAGAATACTAGGGCTACTTTCAGCAGGGAGCTAGCTAGACAGTTGACAACACAGAACCAAATCACTCATCCAGAAGAAGTCTGGCGCCATCCACAATCTGTTGTAAAAGCAGCGTTGGTGACTGTGACTGGCCCTCAAAGAGTGGTTAGAAGAGTCTGTGGATCTTAACAACTTCCGAATTAATGGATGCACACGAACGTATTCCTGTATTATCCGAGCCCAATAGGGCGAGGCGACGATTCAAATATTGACACACAGAAATTTCTTGCAGTAACTACAAACACTGATGGGTGTCGAAAGCCAAAGAGATGGAAACGGCAATGGTGATAGTTAACACTAGGGAACTTGGGTGATGAGGTCACTGGTTGGTGAGATGATAGCAAAGAAGGATGGTTCTACGATTCACTAGCAGGAGAGACGAAAGTTGGGCAGGACGCTTCGAGGAATAGTTCAACTGGCCTTCAACTACAATTTTGTCTTCCGCTGTCCTGTCGTATACCGAACGGAACATCAAAATAAGACTCCTAACACTTGCAGAAGTCAAAGAACCTGTTAGTAATCGGAAACGAAGAAAGGCAGCATAGCCATGTAGAATTTGATGATGGTGGTTGAGGTTTATTGGTCAGATTAACTCATGTTAACTAGTGTTTGAGAGTCAGATATGATCTTCTCTGACTGGTCTCAATCTCCGATTTTTTAAGCCTTTAACAAAGGTGAGAAATCTTCTTGTGATAACTAAAATACTGTCTAAGATCTTAGGTTTTGTAATCATGAGGCGTGAGTGAGGTTCAGGTAAATCAAATTTGAGAAAGCCAGTGTTCAAACTTCGCCTTGGGTGTATCAACGAGATATTTACATTCCAGTATTTTCTAGAAAACAGACACTAGTGTTCGACGCTGGCCGTATTTGTCGATCTGGTTTTTACATTATAGTCAGATGTTTGAAAAATCTTACGTCAGTGCCTGTCAGGAAATTGGGTGCTGAGTGCGTACATCATTCTTTTGTAAGTTCTATACCCCGATACCCGCAGGAGTGCTACAGCCTTTAATGAGTTGTGTTTGTCTAGTGGTATCTCTCAAGGACATCTACTGTCTCTATTCGTTTGCAGCTTTATCTCAAACGTACCTATAAGTCTGTTCCTCATACCGTCTGACTTCACAGGAGAATCTTAGGTAGTTGCCAAGTGGATAAGTGACATGGCTGTGTTAGAATACGACTATGAGAATATGCAGAATCTTCTGGACAGCGCTAATATTTTAATGACTTTCGAAATCTCTACACGAGCAAAAGCCTTGATTAGTTTTCGCCGAACTATGAGATTTATGGCTTTATCGTGATATCCGATTGTCTATTGAGAGTCGAGTTTACTGCATTAGGACTCACTCTGTTTGACTATTTGGTCGTGAGACATGATCATTAAAGGTAGAGGGCGTGCGATAGCTTCAGGTTTTCGAACACCTTTGCTTTCGTAGCACAGACTGTGTGTCTTGGTGTCGCCTCATCAGTAATGTGGAATTTAGGCACTTCGAGTTTCAGGGAGGAGAGGAGAGTTAGTTGATAAGATTGTTAGCCTTCATCGACTCAGGTGACTGGGACATGCGTTTTGCTTTCCTAGTCACCGTCTGCCTCGTCGTACAATGCAATGTTAGTTGAGATAGGTTTAAGCTAGGAAAATGTTACAGGTGGCCAGAATAGAAAATGGCATCAGTGCACAAAGTTTGTGACTGTTGGTCCGAGTCGTGTAGGGTAATGTAGACTTTTGAGTTGGGGTTTGTGAGACAATAGAAATCAATGGTTGGATACTGTAGGTGATATGTCTCAGAATCGATGTTAGTGGCGGAGATGTATCCAGACTTTATCTTTATCGTAACCATTATACTGAATTCACTATTTTATTGCTCCTTCCCCTCTTTTTACTAGTTTTGACTGATTCTTCTTTATTTTGTGATCTTTCATCCTAGTGCATTCTCGCTTGATATGCTGAAATGAATCGTGGCAACTTTGACAGTTACACAGTAATGTCTGGCCCTATATTGATTTAGTCTGTCTGTCATGACAAGTCAACCGTTGTACTTCAGGATGTTAGATGCACATTAACTGAAATCAAAATCTGGAAAGGTCCCTTCAGAAAGGGAGAAATCCTGCATATGTGCATGATGTCGTTTTTCGCTAACATTATTAATTTGTAGGACAGAATATCAAACAGCACGCTTCTGGCAGTTATTTCAGAGCTTCGAGGCTAACAAAAATAGGTTGTAATGTATCCATAGGCAAGTTATTATTTTACGTGTGATCGACAAGGTACCTTCGGATATCCATACAGTTATCTACCTAAATTGCTGATCACGAGCTAGCTTACGCCAGATATCATGCAGGCTTTCTGGAATATACTCACTTTATGATTCAATGTATCTTTGGTTGCAGCTGTAGTCCACGTATGTAAGATTGACGGGAGCTTGTACCTGCACTAGCTTCTGGTGGTGAACATATAGGAAATTTTTAGAAAGTCAACGTATCTTAACATCTGTATAGTTCTTGAAAGTATATCGAGATAAGTGGCATTATACGCTTATATGTATCATTCTTGGTGACATTAACTTGGCTATAAAAGGTCGAGTGTACAACGCTTAGGTGCGGAAAGTTCTGCTGTATACCTGTGAAACTCGAGCTGCGGCTTCCAGAAAGTGTGTGCTTGACCATGATTTTCTTCATACTACAATTTACTTTCCGTCTCAATACAAGAATTGGTAGCACATGCTTGGGAATGTGATTTTTCAACCCCGACTTCAGTGCCTTGGGCATGTGGTACTCATGAATAAGATGAGCCAAATTTGCCTGTTTTCTGATTCATACCAGGTTGCGAGAAAAGATAATAAAGTCACACTTTTCGCGTGGTTTTAGAATATCTCAATCACGTCTTAAATGGAAAACAATTCTATGGAACGTTTGTCGAGGCACTCCAAGTGATGCATATAGATTAACACCTTCAACTGTGACAAGCTTTTTAGTGAAATAAGAGTAGTAGTTAGAAATAGTATAATCCCTATTGGCTTTATATTGTACAAGTAGTATGTTTTGAAGATATTGGTCGACTGACAAATGGTAGACATACATTGTATGCACTATTCAGGCATATTTACTAACTTTTTTCACTAATGTTCCTCCTTTATGTGTTCTCTTACAAAGTTAAAATTTCTCTAGCAACTGCCTTATCAGTGCTGACACAACTTTTAAAACAAGTGCGGTGGTTAACACAACTGATTTACTTCCTATCCTTAATTTCCATGCTTTATTCATTTATATGGTGAAACCGCTTTCAATTTCCACTGTATTCTCTTCTCTCATGTGCAACACTTCTATTGTTTGTCGGTAGTATTCAGAAAACTAGGATAAATGTTCTTTTTACCTTCTTAACTGACACGAGTTATATTGTTGGATAATCCTAAAAAAATGTTCGAAGCATTTTTCTCACGTCTTTAAGGTTTCATATTGAGTAAAATTATCCGAATTTTGTATTACTATTTTATTCTGTTATAAGTTGGTTCGTTTGACTCGTTAATTATTTCAGATGACATTGTATGAAACTCGATTTCGTGAAAGCGAAACAAATACAGAGTGTTCCTGTTTTTCGTTCAACACTGAAGATGTGTACTACACATATAATGGGCGAATAATTGACTATCTTAAAGATGTTCCAAAAGATGCACTTTTGCAGAAACATTACCGTCTTCGTGGTGGTAAAGGTGGATTCGGGTCAATGCTGCGAGCCATTGGAAGCCAAATTGAGAAGACAACCAATCACGAAATGTGCAGAGATTTATCAGGCAGGAGAATGCGTGATGTAAATATGGAAAAGAAGTTAAAAGAATGGTATGCTACAGCCGATAAACGGGAACGTCAGAAAATGGAAGAATACCTTGAAAGACGACGTAGACGCCAAGAGATATTGCAACAGGGTCCATTACCTGGACACAAATTTTCTGATCGTGATTATGAACGACAGAAACGTAAGATTGCATATGAACTGCAAAGCGCCTTGTATACAGGTATATTTAATTTGTAAAAACCAAGTTACTGTCTGTTTAGCGATAGAAAATGTTTCAAATGAAAAAAAACAAGTGGCAAGTACATCCTCAAGTTCCTCGACAGGGCAACCAAATGTGAAGCGTACTCGGTTGTGGATAGAAGAATTAGATGATGTGCTGTGTTCCGACTCCAGTGAAGATGAGAAGTTGGAGAGCGAAGATTCTTTATCATCCGTTGGTGCATTCAATTTTGTAAAAGAGAATGATAATCAGCAGAATACAAACTCTAATGAAGTAAATATAGATTCTGCAGAAATTAACAATGATGATAAACAGCAAAGTACCAGTAAGTCACTTCCCTATTCATTGACTGAACAGTGTATTGACTTTTGTGCATGTCTTGGAAAATTATCAAGTCATCTTATTAGTTATTTACCAATCATAAAGTTAGGCTCGTATTTTGTTTGTCACAATCCTCTCTTATCAACAGAAAAACTAGATATGTAGATATAGCTCATGGTTTATTAAAATAACCAACTACTTCAACCATATCTTCTAAACACCTTCATGGTTACTCTTTTTGCTGCTCAAACCAGGGGCCTGGGTACAGTGTTTTGGGTAACGTTAGTGAAGGAAGTGATCACAGCTGGTAGTGCGATCAGAAATCATATTTTATATAATTTCAGGCTTTTCATTTTAATACGCTGACATCCTAGTAAATTCTGGCATTTCGTCGCTGGACTGAGATACAAATAAGCTTTGTCCACTTGGAAAATAAAGTTGCTCGTACATGCGACCATTCGAAAAATGAACTGGCTGCTTCAGTCAATATTAGGAAGTTTCAAGATCTAGTGGCATAATAGTTATGTGCCTGATTAAAAACTGCTGTCAGTTTTCTTCAAGACTTTCTCACCGCAAAATCTCGGTATTCTGTGAGATGTTCTATGCTAGTTTCCTCTGTATATCTTATCTGATATGAAGAAGTCATGATTAGTATTGAATCTGAAGATCACTTCATATTTACAGCAATTCTGTTGCATACCAAACAGTATTTTCTAAGTAATTGCGTCCTTATGTTTTACGCTTCTGATTTCAAAAATGTTATTTTCACTGGCCTCACATCTAAGGTTTGAATGAAACCAGTCTGTTATGGGCTAACATCCCCATCAAATTCGCAGATACGTCTTGTTGACGAATGCTAGTATATACGAAACCTAGGTGTGAAGCAAGACTCTGTCCTTTGTTTCCAACCTCCTAGATGGAGTTGAATTTAAGCAGTGAAACAGTAGTTATTCCGTTTCAAGCACATCTAGTCTGGATAGCTAACTGAACTGGTAAACTATATAATTGAAAGATGATGTGTGTGGAGCTGTGGCTCATTAATCTAGGCAGTCAACTTTCAATCAGTGGATTACAGGTTTATGCCCCACTCTGCTTACTGAGGTTTGGGAAGCCAGGTAGTAGGATTAATCTTCACACAGTGTGACTCATTGTCGAGTGTATGAACATGCACGTGGTTGCTGAGAGGATATATGGTAGTGAATTTTATCGGAGGAGGGAAATATGGTTTATGCAGCTTCTTCGCCCTCGCTGATTGCTGTAAGGTCAATCCACACAGATACTTTAACCGCGCTGTGACTCCATGTTTTCTCTTTTGTTTTCAATTTCTTCGTTTTTCTTAAACATATCATTGGTTGTTATCTTCATCAATTTACTGCTGTCTCGTGCATATAGTGATGGTAATTATTGTCGCTGTTATCAGTATTAACATCAGTCACATGACTGACCTAGGATAAAATTCACTTCATTTTTATTGTATTTATATAGTTTATCTTCCCTTTAGTTGAATCTCTTCTAAAACCTGCAACTTTTCATATTGTGAAATTTATATATACACATTATCTCCCAAGTACCTAGTATTGCAATTCAGTTGACTGTCCAAATTGTATGATGTTAAACTGCGGTCAACACAAAACTGACAATTGTTCCATTGTCTAAATTCGGCTGAATTCAACTCCACATATCCTTGCTGCAGACTGACTCGTGTTGTTTTAGCTGTAGTGATAAAATAGACTTGAGTTTATAGCCATGTAACCACGGGAAGTTATTATTGAAAGCACTTGTTTGATCGAATATTTGGACTGTCCAAAACTAGGTGCTAGGCTGTTTTTTCTTATAAGAAAATTGAACATTTATAAATAGATTCATTAAGTAAATGTATGATGGATCCAGAGCTATTAGAGATGAAGTCACCTGCAATCCACATAATGAGCTACAAGAGTTAAAGCAGTCACTACTGAAAATATGAATACCGTATCGCATTGATATTGTATGAAATTACTCATTTCATTATTACACATTGATCAGCATAACATACTCTTAAGTGCAAAAACTTAAAAATCTTCGACCAAGCTACTTCGAAGTGTGTGAGAGAATTGTTTGAAGCAGCCGTCAGAATAACAAAAAATCAACATGTAAGTCTGGACTCAGTGTATGAATCTGTCAAAAATATGTTCATGAGAAGAACCTTCCAGTTTGATGGTTTTTTTAAGGTTAACCCAATAGAGCAGACATAGTTATAGTTTTTAAATAACGAGAACTAGATATGAATTCCACTCAAATAATAACCACTAACCTGAATTAAAGAAGTAAACGCGATTATCAAGTAGCAAGCAAGATAAGCACTTGCCAACAGACCAATCAAGTGGTTTGTCGGCCACCTACTCTAGTTGAAATCCATCTTTAATCAATACACATAAACTACATATCTCCTTCATTTTTCATAATGCTAAAAGTGATGCCTAGGCTGATGTATATAGCTGTCTCTGAAAAATTGAGCTCGTGAAAAGACATAGCTACTAGTTAATCCGAATTGTTCCATCAGCTACTTCATGAATTTTTAGTAACGTTAATATGTATTGCTACTAAAAACATTGGGTCACTCCGCATATTGTCATTAATATATTAATGTATACGTTTACTTTATCGTTATTATTGAATGGTTCAAGCACCGTGTTTCCTAATCTTCATGCATTCACCTATCTCCGATGAACGGTACTAATTCGTCAAGTTTAAATTCGCAATCCATCATAGTTATAGATTGCCAGTTGGCAGTCCGGGATATAGATACACCAATTTTTGAGATATTAGAATTTGTAGCTCAGGATCACAGTGACAATGGTTCGATGTTCTCCAACTTTGATATATGATCCTGAACATTTCATCACCAGATTTCGTAATGTCTCTCCACTGACTTAGTGGAGAAGTCTCCGTAGTTGGAGATTACTGAACGCGCTAGTTTTGCTAATGATAGGTTATATTGTGTAGATGATTTTTGCAAATTAGGATACGCGGCGACAATCTCTTAGGTCAAATTTGAGGTTAGGTATTAATTGATTTCTTAACTCTCTACGTGTAGTCCTGAGGAAAACAAATTCAGTTGGATTATGTGTGCATAAATTCCTAGTCTATTATTTCTTACCGACTTAAGACTAATATACAATACATACTGCGCTACTAACATACTGTTTTCTTCACATTTTCAGTTTCGGATGAGGAGAAAAAGCAAGAGGGAAAACCATGTACAAACGCCCAACCAGATGTCGTACAGCCTTTAATGGACGAACAATTGCATGAAACAGATACTGCAGAAAGTCTGGAGAAGTTTGGCTTAGATGTTCTTAAGGCAACCTTAAGTGCCCGCGGCTTGAAATGTGGAGGGACGTTAAAAGAACGAGCTGGTCGACTATTCTTAGTCAAAGATTTGAGTCCAGATCGATACCCTGTAAAATTACTAGCAAAAAGCAAATGACTCTAGTTTTTGCACGGTTTTTTTAATAATGCATATAGGAGGTAAATACCTACTTTATGTACTTAGTAAACTAATGCCTCTAGCTTATTTCTTTGAATTCATTGGATATTAACATGTACAGTGACTCAGATACACTATATTGATACATTTTGTTTACGATTTTTTTATATATGAGAAGAAGAATAAGTTCGTTTTTATAGTTCGATTGACTTCAACCCTAATCATGTTACTGTCAAATAAGTTGCCAATCTTGCAGCATCCATGTCGGTTACAAATAAGCATTATGCACCGTTTACATCCATGAATCAGTTATGAATAATGTATAAATCACACTTTCTAGTCATCATAAAAACTTGCAAGAATTTCACGGAACTTTTATTATCTCGAACTATAAACTCTGAAGAATATTTACGCTGACTTTTGGAAAAGCTGTCTTCAGTTTAAATCCATTCAAAAGAATTATATATATATATATATATATATATATATATATATATATATATATATATATATATATATATATCATTCACGAGTAAGACAGAGTAGAGAATTCTACCGCACAACTCACAACTATTTTAGAAAAAAATTAATGGAAAGTTCGGCTTATCTGAAATAAATAAATGAAGAAAAACAAACAGCAGTATAATTGAAGCTTTAGGCACAAAACGGCCTAAAGAAAACAAAGTAAAGTCAACTTTCACTCGCTTTACGACTGTAAAAAAATGGCAAGCAAGAAAGATTATGTGGGAAAAGAGAAAGGGAAGTCCCCTGAGACTGTACAACGTGGCGCTGCAGCTGGGAACCGTTGGAAAATACTATTATATGAGGCAAATAAATGTGTGCGACACTGTTTGAGAAAAAACAAAAGGAAATGAAATTCTGAACAGAATTCGAGATTTAGAAATGAAGAGAAAGCCGACGTTTTTAGAACATGAATCACGGCCTACTACTACTGTACAAGCAAGTTTGACTAAACTGACGATCACTGTAGTACACAGCTTTTGTCGATTCGACGTCTTCCAGGTGACAAAAGATTTGTATTCTGTTCCAACTCGAGTTCTTCAGCCAGTCTGTAAGGTTTCAAAAAACATAAGAAACAAAGTTGCAAACAACTTACGCTTTTTCATGTAGGTCCAGCTCCTGAATCATATCATCACGTTCATTGACCAGTCGTACAAGATCCCGTAAAAGTAGGTCCTCTCGTTTTCGATCACTGTCCGTTTTCAAATATTCTAATTTGGTTAGGAAAGTAGTCAGTTCGAAATATGGAATGAGGCATTGCAAAAAAAATAATAACTTTTTCTCATTTCTGTTCACAGGTAGGCAATACTAATTTGGTATTCTGCAGAAAAACATATGTAAACCTAGAGATACAAGATCCGTTGAAGTTACTTCACTTCACAGTAGCATGCAAAGAACAAGTGTATAGAAAAAGACTGGTATCAAAGCAGATAAAAGTGTAGGGAGGACAAGGAATTTAAAAACGAAAATTAATGGAAATGTTCAAGCCTTAGAAGACATTAAAGAGTGTTAGTTGGGTAAGGGAAATCGACAGGAAGCCCTGAACATGCTCAATACCACTCGTCAGCAAGGCATATCTGCAACCTTACGGAACTGACATACCACCTGGGGTTTGAACCCGCGTGCTGCCTGCCCCGACTAAATCCTGTTGGACTGGATTAGGTGCATAGAATGGTCATTAAAGGGGGGGGGGGACGTGACAAACTTCATGTTGTCTAGGCCTGATCAGATTCTACCAACCACTTTGCAATGAGGCTACCAGGCTAGGCGAGTAAGCATTGCTATCCACTTTAATGCATGTTAGTTAGATGACGGCAATCGGCAGAAAGCTTCGAACCTCAGATGGGACATCAGCTACATCGTGGTTGCACACCTAGTTTCCTGCTTTTTGGCACTCTCCAGAGTGAATACAACCGCCTCATTAGGACTAATTTTTGAAAATTTCACCAGGAGCTTCCAACCATTGGTTCCTGTGGTCTCCAGAACCAAAACCAAGGAGTCCACAACTACCTACACAGAGCAAGCCAACAGTCGTAAACTCCATAGACTGACGCATGTCTTGGCCTAGCTATCATGAGCACCCTTCCAACCTAGTTCAACTTCTGATAGCACCGCACGTCGAGGTGAATGGTGAATCAACATGCGCAACACATGTTCAAGCCATCTCAGTTGCTGGACGTTAGTAGTTTTATTCATAGTCTTGTCATCCTTTCCTAATACCCTTTGTCTGACCACGATATTGATCACAGGGCGATTCTACCGTGCACGGGCAATGCCTCGAAGACACCCATAGTCAAAACGCTGTAACCTGTTCATATACTCTACCTTTAGCGGCCATGTCTCACAGCCACATAACAGGAGAGAACGAAATGCAGTGTGGTAGGCTTGTCCATTATTGAATAGTTGGATATCTCGTCGCTCGATGTCACAGATGATACAAGTTGACAAATGACAAACCGACCAAATGAAATTCCATCAAAAACCAACCTGTTCGGGCTGATGAAACCCCCAGAAAGTGAAGTGGTCGAGGCATTCCACTCTCTATCCTTAAACTAGGAGTAGTTCCAGACCAGTCCTGATCGACGGAGTCGAATGCCACCTTCGGGTCAATAAAAGTGGCGCTTGTCAGTCACGGGCAAGTATGCCTGCATCCCAGGACCTAATGAAAGGTGGAAATTTGATCGATACACTCTCCTCCAAGTCTGGAACCTGTCTGGTTTAATCGGTGCAGGGCGATTGAAGCGTTGCTGTAATCCAGTTGAACTGTGCCTCAACGTATTCTGCTAACGTTCCTAGCCATCTGTCCTGAGAGGTTATCAGCGTCCCATCCTTTTCGGTGATGGTCACCGTCTTCTTGCAAGTGTCCTAAATAAGCCTCAATAGTTGCTAGGTGTTTCCTAACGCTGATGCCTTCTCCACCTCCTTCGCTTTCGCCTCCACCACTGCTAGCGATTGTGATGACTTCTCATCAATTTATCCTGATGCTGCTTTCTCTCCTAACTGTGATCAGACCCGACTGTAATGAATCTTCTTGCACCAATCAGTTCGGATAACATTTGTGATGTAAACCCACATTTCTTTGGTTGTCAGAAGATCAGTGTTAGAGATTTATCTTTTGTTCAGTACATACTGTGTCTACTGGTTTCTTCATTTCAGAGAAACAAAGAAATTTAATTCATTTGGATATGTTATGATGAAGTAACTAATATGTGGAGCATTTATGTGGCCGGAGTAATCACGCTTGGAAATTATGTTCAAGGTACTGACATAATATAATGGAAACATGGAATTACATCTCAGATACTGCTGCAACTATGAATTGATTAATGATGATGTAATGACGATAATGTCTAGGTTAACCGGATTAATTAGCCAAATGGCATACTTACAACAATGGTGGAACGGTGATTATCCCTAAAGCCTACCTAAAAATATATCGTACAATAACCCAGAAAAGACAGAAATAATAATGAACACAAACGAATTTTATGCATCAAGGATAATAAAAAAGTCAGTAAGTACTCAATAAATTCTTACAAACAAATAAAAATGCAAATCAGCAGCTAAGTACAAACACCTTTAGTAGACTGTAAGCCAACCTCCCCTGGTTAACTAGTTCACTAGTCACTAGCTGGTCCTAAGCCCGGGTAAGGAGGGAAGGTTGGGCGTAGGGCTAGCAACCATACACCGTAAAACAAATCCAATCGCTAAAGAAACTTCAAAGCACAAAGAAATTATCAAAAATAAAAACAAACTAATTCCTCGCTAGAATCGGAGAGATGAAATGACGCCAGTTGGTGAAAGCCTTCGCGAAGCCAATTGAGTGATGTATCTTCTCTTGATGAAAGCGAAAGTAAACATGTGGACATGGAATGTCCGCACCATGTTTGAACTTACCAAGGCTACCCAAATTGCAAGAGATGAGAAGGTATCACATTGAAGTGCTTGGAATCTACGAAAGCAGGTGGAATGGAAGTGGACTCTCTAAACTATCAACCGGAGGAGAGTCAATAATCTACTCCGATATTGTCACCCAGACGACAACCACGAGCACACTCAGTTTTGGAGTGGCTATCATGGTGTCTCCAAGAACATCGAAGGCTCTCATACAGTGGGAACCAATCTTCTCCAGTATCAGGATCATGACAGCAAGATTCAACTCAAAAGGAAGGAAAGTCACAATCGTACAATGCTACGCACCTACAAATAATGCAGGTCAAGAGAAGAAGGAGGAATTCTACAGACAACTGCAATCAGTACTGGTCAAGACTCCAGCTGGCGACATCAAAATTCTAATGGGTGACATGTTTTAATGTCAAACTGGGAGCGGACAACACAGGAAGAGAACTCATCATGGGTCGGGAAGCACTCGGTGAAATGAGGAATGAGAATGGAGAACTGTTTGCAGATTTCTGCGCATTCGACGATTTGGTGATTGGAGGCACTGTGTTCAAGCACAAGGATATTCACAAAGCGACATGGGTTTTACCAGACACCAGGACACACTAAAAATCAGATCGACTTCATCCCAATCTGAAGAAAGTAGAGACGCAGTCTACTGGACACAAGATCAAGAAGGGGAGCAGATGTAGGTTCACACCACTCACTGTCTAGTGCAAGGAACCTACCTTCAAAATAAAGTTGGAAGCCTTCACAGAGGTTGGTGATAGACCACAGTTCAAGTTCAACGCCCAGAACGGAAACTGAAGCACGAAACTACAAAGGACATCTTCATGTCAGTCATCAGAAGAAAATGGGAGATATCGAGCAACATCCCTGAAGGGACCTGCGTGGATGAACACTGGAACTCTTTGAAAGGGATGTGGAAAGAAACCTCCATAATTGTATTAGGAAGGAAGAGGAGACAAGACAAAGAATGGATCTCGACGGACACATGGGAGCTGATAGAGAAAGGAGAGGAAGATGGTGAAGCAGAAGATGAGCCAGTGCAGTGCAGGGATGCACAAGGAAAAGAACTGAGTACGACGTACAAAACACTGGACAAGGAAGTAAAGAAGAGTGTGGCAAAGAGAAAAGACACTTCTACGACACATTGGCAAGTGAAGCAGAACAGGCTGTAGGTAGGAGAGACCTGACATCATATCAAATAACCAGGTTACTATCTGGGAAGAGATCAACACAGATGAAGCCAGTCAAAGATGATGAAGGAAATATAGTTACCAAAGAGGAGAAGAAAAGGAAATGATGGGCTGACCACTTCAAAAAGCTCTAAAATCGACCACCACCTGCATTTCGTCCAGAAATACTACCTGCAGCCACAGAACTACAAGTAAACACAAGCCCTCCGACGAAAGTCGAAGTCCTGAACGCCATGAAGCTACTGAAATGGGGGAAAGCAGCAGGACCAGATGGAATCCCGCCATAAGCACTGAAAACAAATGCAGAGACAATAGCGGGCATGCTCACATCACTATGGCAGAATGTCTGGAAGGCAGGAAGGGAAGGTACTGGGCGACTGGAAGACGGTCTACCTTGTCAACCTCCCAAAGAAGGGAGACCTAAGTCTTTGCAAGAAATGGCGCAGAATCATGCTCCTGTCCACCCCAAGCAAAATATTAAACCGTATCATCCTGGAGAGACTTAAGGATACGCTGGACTCAAAACTACTACCCGAACAGGCTGGATTCAGGAAGTACAAATCATGTGCAGATCAAATTGCAACGCTACGCATCATCATAGAACAGAGTATAGAATGGCAGTCAACCCTCTACCTCAACTTCATCGACTTTGAAAAGGCCTTCGACAGCGTCGACCGAGAAGTAATTTGGCAACTGCTTCAACACTACGGAATACCAGAAACCTTTATCAATCTCATTCAACAACTATATGAAAACGCCACATGCCAAGTAATTCACAATGGGAAGCTCAGTGATGCCTTTGAAGTGAAGACAGGAAGGAGTAAGACAAGGCTGCCTACTATCACCGACCATCTTCTTGATTGTGGTCGACTGGATCATGCAGCAAACCGTGAGGAGCGGGAAGATGGGCATACGCTGGTTGGACCGATGAGAAGACCCTAGAAGATTTGGGTTTCGCCGATGATAATTTATGTCTAATGCCTTATGAGCACAAACTCGAAGATCTACAGGCGAAAACTAACAAGTTGACGGCAGAGGCAGCGAAGGCAGGACTTCAAGTGAATATAGAGAAGACAGAGGTGATGAAGATACCGCACCAACAACAACAACAAACTCCAGTCACCAGCAACGGCAGAAACCTAAAGGAAGTAGCCTCTTACACCTATCTAGGCAGCATCGTTTCAACTATAGGCGGCACAGACGAGGATGTCAAAACCAGGATCGGAAAAGCAAGACAGGCGTTCATTAACCTGAAATCAGCGTGGAGAACTACTGAACTTAACATGTGTAACAAGATCCGGATTTCCAACACCAATGTCAAGTCAGTGCTTCTATATGGCTCATAAACTTGGCGCGTCACGAAAAGCACTTCCAACAAACTACAGACATTCATCAACAGCTGCTGTCCACGCTCACTCGATACTGAAGATCAGATGGCCAAAAAGAATAAGCAACAAGGAACTCGCTCTGGCAACCAACCAACCAAGAACCTATCACCCAACAACTATGCAGAAGAAAGTGGAGATGGATTGGGCATACACTGAGAAGACCATTCGGAGACATCACGCGCTAGACCAGGCCCTCGACTGGAATCCAAAGGGGAAACGACGAGTTGGGCGTCCGAGGCGAGGGTGACATGGAGACCATATGAGGAAGAAATGAAAGCTTTTGGGCAGTCGTGGCGCCAGGTTGAAAAGACTGCAGAGAAGAGAGTGGAATAGAGACGAGCTACTGAAGCCCTATGCTCAACTAGGAACCGAAGAGAAAAATGATAAATAAAATAAAGACCATACGCCATTGACATAAGGCTACTGAAGGACTGTAGTTTGAGTCGGAGAAGTGACGGAGTATTATCGGAGAGACTCGCTCAATTGTTGGTAGGAGGATGGGAAACTGAGTTTGATCCATAATATTATTGTATAATCTGTCCGTATCTTCATCTTATATCTTGATACGACAGTATGAGGTGTTGCAGTCGGATGGTTATGTAGCACTGCCAAGTTCAATGTTGTCGCTGACTGACTAACGGTTATAGACATAGATATATGTACCAGCGAAAATTAGGTTTCCAAACCCTTGTAAATGATGGCAACACAAAACCCACCTATTAGACATGAAAAGAATATTATTTGACAAGTCTAATTTCGCATTTCTTGATAAACAGCATTTTATGAGATTGTAATCCGTAGAGTATGAGCAAAAGGGAAACTATCTAGGATCCTGTATTACCGTGAAACTCGAAGTTATTTGGCCAAGAAATTAGACCGGATTCGTTACAGAAACTGATTACACGGTAGAAAGTAATTAAACAATGGACTACATATGACATGAATGTCTACAATATTATCTGCCTGGTTAAGCGAAAAACTCTGCGTTATAATTTACACCTGTTGCAAAAATGAGTGCTTAGACCACCGGGTTAGCAAAACACCTATTTCTTAATCGTAGTTGGGGTTGGTACCATTTTATTTGTGCGTTTCGCAATAACGAATAGTTAATAGTGTCAGGTCCACAACCAAGCTACTTTCAAAAAATATTTCACAGTTACCTTCAACTGATAAAATCGATCGTAACTCGTCCTGCAGCATATGCATTTTCTTTTTTAAATCATCTTCTTTCTCCCTGAAACAAGAGATGTGAATGTTCGACGTTTGCGAAGTTGTATAAATAAATAAAATGAGAACAGTGACCAACGATAATAACAAGCAATTATTTACAGAGTCACATAAATGAAAATATATCGGACAGCTTATGATTATCCCATCAGTTGAGCTGGTAAAGTAAACTGGTCTATTGCCACACAAAAGAAGCACTGGATACTATAATATAGTGAAATAACTGGGATAGTTAGCAAGCTCGAGAAAGAGAAAACTACCGGACTTTGAGACGACGACAGTTTTCTAATCGATAAGTTTCCTAGAAAAATGCAACCACTTATCAACAACATCAAAATAGGACCAGGCAAAGTTACGCAACGGTTGTCACATACAGCATGGAAAAATCAAGCGAGAATGCACTAGGATGAAAGATTACAAAATAAAGAAGAATCAGTCAAAACTAGTAAAAAGAGGGGAAGGAGCAATAAAATAGTGAATTCAGTATAATGGTTACGATAAAGATAAAGTCTGGATACATCTCCGCCACTAACATCGATTCTGAGACATATCACCTACAGTATCCAACCATTGATTTCTGTTGTCTCACAAACCCCAACTCAAAAGTCTACATTACCCTACACGACTCGGACCAACAGTCACAAACTTTGTGCACTGATGCCATTTTCTATTCTGGCCACCTGTAACATTTTCCTAGCTTAAACCTATCTCAACTAACATTGCATTGTACGACGAGGCAGACGGTGACTAGGAAAGCAAAACGCATGTCCCAGTCACCTGAGTCGATGAAGGCTAACAATCTTATCAACTAACTCTCCTCTCCTCCCTGAAACTCGAAGTGCCTAAATTCCACATTACTGATGAGGCGACACCAAGACACACAGTCTGTGCTACGAAAGCAAAGGTGTTCGAAAACCTGAAGCTATCGCACGCCCTCTACCTTTAATGATCATGTCTCACGACCAAATAGTCAAACAGAGTGAGTCCTAATGCAGTAAACTCGACTCTCAATAGACAATCGGATATCACGATAAAGCCATAAATCTCATAGTTCGGCGAAAACTAATCAAGGCTTTTGCTCGTGTAGAGATTTCGAAAGTCATTAAAATATTAGCGCTGTCCAGAAGATTCTGCATATTCTCATAGTCGTATTCTAACACAGCCATGTCACTTATCCACTTGGCAACTACCTAAGATTCTCCTGTGAAGTCAGACGGTATGAGGAACAGACTTATAGGTACGTTTGAGATAAAGCTGCAAACGAATAGAGACAGTAGATGTCCTTGAGAGATACCACTAGACAAACACAACTCATTAAAGGCTGTAGCACTCCTGCGGGTATCGGGGTATAGAACTTACAAAAGAATGATGTACGCACTCAGCACCCAATTTCCTGACAGGCACTGACGTAAGATTTTTCAAACATCTGACTATAATGTAAAAACCAGATCGACAAATACGGCCAGCGTCGAACACTAGTGTCTGTTTTCTAGAAAATACTGGAATGTAAATATCTCGTTGATACACCCAAGGCGAAGTTTGAACACTGGCTTTCTCAAATTTGATTTACCTGAACCTCACTCACGCCTCATGATTACAAAACCTAAGATCTTAGACAGTATTTTAGTTATCACAAGAAGATTTCTCACCTTTGTTAAAGGCTTAAAAAATCGGAGATTGAGACCAGTCAGAGAAGATCATATCTGACTCTCAAACACTAGTTAACATGAGTTAATCTGACCAATAAACCTCAACCACCATCATCAAATTCTACATGGCTATGCTGCCTTTCTTCGTTTCCGATTACTAACAGGTTCTTTGACTTCTGCAAGTGTTAGGAGTCTTATTTTGATGTTCCGTTCGGTATACGACAGGACAGCGGAAGACAAAATTGTAGTTGAAGGCCAGTTGAACTATTCCTCGAAGCGTCCTGCCCAACTTTCGTCTCTCCTGCTAGTGAATCGTAGAACCATCCTTCTTTGCTATCATCTCACCAACCAGTGACCTCATCACCCAAGTTCCCTAGTGTTAACTATCACCATTGCCGTTTCCATCTCTTTGGCTTTCGACACCCATCAGTGTTTGTAGTTACTGCAAGAAATTTCTGTGTGTCAATATTTGAATCGTCGCCTCGCCCTATTGGGCTCGGATAATACAGGAATACGTTCGTGTGCATCCATTAATTCGGAAGTTGTTAAGATCCACAGACTCTTCTAACCACTCTTTGAGGGCCAGTCACAGTCACCAACGCTGCTTTTACAACAGATTGTGGATGGCGCCAGACTTCTTCTGGATGAGTGATTTGGTTCTGTGTTGTCAACTGTCTAGCTAGCTCCCTGCTGAAAGTAGCCCTAGTATTCTCATCGTCATGCATCACTCGCAAAGGTCTTGCTGTTGTCATTTTCCCGCGTCCATTTAGGCATAGACATACGATGCATGACCACTTTCCAGGGGGATCACTAGTCTTCCACTGACCCTCTCCTGCGTTAACTGGTGGCATTATTCTCTATGCTCATCACTGAGTTGAGCTTGGTGGTCGCCATGTCAGGCAGTGTCTTTCCGTGTGTGTGAATACCGTGCTGGTCAGAAATATATAGTTTTCTAAGCACAGTTGTGGTGAGTGATCGCCATTATCTGTTCGTTCGGCTAGGATACCGAAAGTGACGCTCAAGTATCTTCCTGTCAGAATTAGGCTACCCCCTTGAGCTTTGAAGCCACTTGCTAAATGTTTGGCTTTCATCAGGAGGCTACACAGTCCTCGACAGAACTCATCCGACCTATAGTCAGAGGTGCGTAAGTAGATATTGTGAAGAAACAACGGCGAGTTTCATTACTCCTTTGAGTCCTCACTGTTGGGCAGCACATAAGCGACTGTCAACTGGAATCCAGTCGAGCAGTACACCTCCTGCTATACCTACACCTGCAAGACCATAAGAACTAGCCATCGCATCTGCAGGAATTCTAAGGACAAGATTTGCAGATTCAACAAATCGGTCAGGTGAGGTTAGATTACTAACCGCACTTAAGTCCTGTATGCGTGTCTCGCAAACACAGCAGACATCTATGGCACGAGATGCCAAAGTTTCGGCTAGCGTAGCTTGTTGGGCGATTAGACAAAGGGTGTGGAGATTGAAAGTTCCAATGTGTTTCTTAGAGTGCAGTTCTAGGAAACCACGGATGCTGTTTTTTGAAGTCGGGTCATTATCAATAGCTGGAGAGTTGGATTAAATTAAAGATGAAGTAGCGAGGTTTATCGAGAGATGTGAAGGAAGATAGACGGTAAAGATATTGATCATGGAGGACAGTGACCTGATGGTACTTGACTACTGACAGAACTATGAGGGAAGTCGACACTTTCCGGCTGCCCACACCATAGAAAACTGGTTGGCCTTAAGGTACCTGAAGATTTAGTGGGCGATCACAGAGACAAAAAAACGTCTGGTTGAGGTCCATCACACAGTACTGAAGTGGCACTTTTGATCGTCCATGGAAAACACTTTACTGCTGTCACACTCCTGTCCAGTCAACAGTACGACTTAGACCACGAACGCACATCATAGCGTCACAATTCACACCATAACAGTGGATGCTTCGTTGTCTTACCACTATCCAACTGACTTTTGTGGTATGGTAAGACCTTGAGGGAACAACAGTTCCAGTCAGTGTAGCTCGTTGGGCCATATTGTTTTGCAAGGACGTCTATGATATCAAGGTTGTAGCTATCGGTTGGGAACTGATTATTTGCGCTTAACCGCTAACTAAAAGTAGACTCGCCGTTCAAATAAGTGTTAGATTTCTGTGATCTCATTATTTGGTCGTTATTTGCTGATATCTACCCACGGCTTACTTGTAACAAAGTTATGCTCGTAGAAAAACCCCCCATAGCCCTAACAGTATGTGAAATTCTAGCGTTTAGTTTCTGCTATCAGTTACATTTAAAGTAACGCATGTTGCATGATTTGAAAAGCAAAGAAAATGTTTGCTCATAACGAATAATTGTTTCTGATAGTTAAATGGAGGCAATCGGCAAAAAGCGCTGAACATAAGTTACGTGTTTTCCGGCAGTCGTCAGCAAGGCATATCTGCAACCACAACGAAACTGATATCCCGTCTGAGGTTCAAGGCTATCTGTCGATCGCCTTCATCTGACTAATCTCTATCTCAGTGCATCGCGATGATGAGTCTCCTAGCCTGGTGGCCACATCTCAAAATAATCGATAGGATTCAATCAGCACTATGGAATAGATAACATGAAGTTGGTTACCCTCCAGTGACTAATCAATGTATCGTTTGTTTCACTCCTTCTGAAATGCCAGAACAGTTACATTTATGGTAGAACAAGAAGTATTGTCTTCTATCACATTAAATTACCTTCGACTAGTGGGACAAAATATATCTGTGAACTAACTAAATAGACAACTAGGGAACGATGGAGGTGAAGTGAGAAAACGTCATAAATTATTTCATCAATCAACCTCAACAGTAGAACTAGGTATGTTAACTTACCCATTCCTATTTCATTCACTTAAAACCATATCCCAAAAAGTTCTGGAGCACGCTAATGATGAGCAGACATCCATGGCACGAGATGCCAGAGTTTTGGCTAGCGAAGCTTGTTGGGTTTTTAAAAAAATAGAAGCTTTACAAGCTTCTGAAACAATGCTTAATGAATATAACAGAATATACCAAGTGGAAGATAGATTGATAGACACAGTACGATGAAATGTTGCATTTTGGCTTTTTGTACCCGTAAAGATGCATAGAACGTTACAGAGTTATTCTCTATTTTTGTTGGTGCTTATGAGGATAGTGTATTTTTTTGAGGTTCTAGGAAGATTCAGATCAAGGGAAGCATTCAAACATGAGTTGTTTAGCCTTATAGAGCTATCAGGCTCAATTCAATGGTACTGAATTCAAGCAGTAGATTGCAGTCAGAGCATAACAACACTGCAATCGCGTCAGTGATTCCTGCGGAAACGCAATCTTACAGGAATTTAGCGAAATATTTCAAAAACGCAGTCTGATTGGTGTATATTAGTGGGAACATCCTTCTTGGGAAGAGCACGATTTTCTTTGAAATGAAATTTACATGCTGTTTGTAACAAACAGTAAAGCCAACGAGGGGTTTACTGACCGACATTCAACACCTGAGATAGTAGAGAGAATTTGCGGCTCAAGATGAAAATTATAGTTGTTTAGTGTTCTAATTATATGTTTATTATAGTCTTCTGCACTCCAAACTGGGCAAATTTCGAAATTTTAATTAAGCTTAGTTCTGACTATTTTGACTACTTAGTGGTACACATTTCCAGATAATTTATCCCCTTCATTTTAACTCAGATTTTATCACACTTTATTCACTCAACTTGACTGAAACATCTACTTTCATTTGCATATTGGTTCACACATTAGAAAATCAATATTACTGTAACCATTATCGACCACCAACTAATGTAACAATATGCAATTATAAAAATAAAATAAGCTAAATACTGTAAACAGTTACTTTAATTAATTACTTGCCAATTGAAAATTCTTAAAACAAAATCATTCACGAATCAAACTAGGTTTTTGTAAAAGTTATTCATTAGCAACATAATTAATAACAAATTTCACAATCAGAATTATCAAAGGAAAAGAGACAAGTAATCTTACATAATATTTAGTTGAATACCACGACGGATTAGAGCATTCTTTTTATTGACTAAAATAAACCATCTTCTTAACAGTTCTTCTTCTAACGCTGTGCCTGGTTCACGTGCCATTTGTTGACGTAGTCTTTGTTCTAGTACAGCTGCTTCTTTGTCTAATTCTTTTTGAGCCTGTTCAAGCTCAGCTTGTTCATTATTAATATAGTTTGAAATAGAGAGATCTGTATTCGCTGTAGTATTGTTGACTGAAGAGCCTGTCATGAGATATAGGAGAGTAGATATATACAAAAAGTGATATGCGCACAGCAGGGTCATGTAAGAAAATAATTGCAAAAAGGAAAATTAGAGTTTTCTTATGCAACATGTGTTCAACTGATTTCACGATTTCTTGTTGAAAAGCTTAAGCATCTATAAATGGCATGGTGAATCAAAATGATGCTAAAAATGTATGGTAGGAGTAAAAATACGGAGCAGCCGCAAAGTGATTGTGAAATGAGTACAAATATACTTCAGAAAAAAGAATGAACATTAGGAATATTGATTCTCAATCACATCTGCATCTGAGAGAATAAACATAATACTTTTAATAAAATCCGGCTGGTTTATTAGTAAACACTCAACTCAATGGATGATACATTTTACTTTCAATCGTGGATCGTCGATTAGGGTCCTGCCTTTGCTATTGATATTTTGGTAACCAGGCAGCATTACTAACCATCAAATAACAAATGCGGTGAATAGGTTCGTAAATTAATCTGTTCATGATTGTTGAGAAGTATGCATTTCTGAACATTAAGAAACAACCAGCAAATCCTGGCTTTTTTAAATTAATCACATCAAGGTTCAATACGGAAAGTGTATGTTAAATGTATTCAACTCATCGAAGGGTTTGTAACATGGAAAGTTTACTCGAGTATGCATTCTAACTTCATCAAAAAGCATGAAATTTGAACTGTGAAATTTCTAGTGACAGTAAGAAAATATGAAAAATACTACAAAAACTAAAGTGATTGAACATAATAAAGGGGAGAATCTAATAGCTGGAATGTCTTTGATTTCGACACGGGTCAGCTTTCTAAACTGGATTATTATAAATATCTAAACCTCAGACGGAGACTGATCATTTTAGTAGCGTCCACTGATTTATATGGATTTCATGGACTGACATCGGTTGTTTACTAACCTGAAATCAATAAATGAATCCTCATAAACCTCCAAATGGAATGATTCTAGCGCTTATTGGTGACTTGCTTCGAGAGGTGAGAAGTTATGACCAATGGGGCAAACCTAGTGGGATAACCATACATATACTCAACGACAGGACTGAATGGAGATCGCGCTGTTTCGTGAACTAACAGAAGTAGGAAATATAGACCACTAAATTCTGACCCATTGGCTCAATGGTAACCTGCTGGTTGCGGAACCTGAAGTCCTTGGATTTGATCCCTGGAGAGATCATGGGTGTGCAATGCTGAAGAGTCCCATGAAAGGACGAAACAGTTGTACAGTGTTCCTAGGTTTCCAATGTTTCTGCAGCTGATGTTATTCCATGATGAATACCAACCTGAAATCAATACAAAAATTCCCACAAACCTCCAAATTGATTAAATAGATCTATCACATAAAACAGAATCTACAGTTCAAATTTACCTTCTGGTTTCGTTCAAGTATCAGTCTAACTACGGTCATTTCAGATGCCGCAGCAAAACTGTTGATAAATACCTGTAGATCCGTAACAACATATTTCTTAGACAAATTAAAATTTTCGAGTTACTAATAGAGTTTTCTAGTGACTGAGCTACCAGGTATTATTTTCAATTCAATCGACGAGTTTTCTGTGCACCTGTCATGTGAATTAGAAGTGCACGACGGTGCACCTACCATAAAAGTAGCGAACTTACCAGATTTTATCATCCCAGTCAGTATTGAAATGAATCAGAGACGAAAAACAATCAACGAAGTCTTGTTTGATAAACAGATTCTTATTTTCACAACAGCTGGAAGAAAAACTTATGTCAAAATGAAAGTGCAACAAGATTAAGAGGTTTTCGAATCCTGTTCACCTACGCATTAAGCAAATAACCCGGGGACTGTTGATTCGAATCCGTCTGTTAACAAATTTTGTACATCCGTAAAATTTAACACAGTGTGCATTATTTAACTAACTGCTATGTTACTTGCTTTGCCTGCTTTCCCTCGTTACGCTTAAATCCATCAAAGCAATAAGATGTATAGGATTTTCATTACCGTACCATACAATCATGACAGAAAGTGAGGTAAATTTGCCAACCATCTTACTTGAACTTAAAAACTGTCTAAAATGGTAAATACAAATAACTTGGCTAGGTGATATTCAGTTATTCAAAAAGCAGACACATAATATTCTGATTCGTCCTAGTATGGGACTCCTCAGCAGTACGCACCCACGACCTGGCTAGGGGTAGAACTGAGGACCTCCAGGTTTCACGGCGAACGCGTTAACCATTCAGCCACTGGGTCGGTTCCCAGTGGTTCACAATTTCCAACTTCTGTCAATTTACGACATAGTGCTCCCAGATTTTCAATGGTTCCCCAACTGATGTCAGTCCATGATGAATACTACTTCTAAATTAAAAATCCCCACTCATCTCAAAAATACATAATATTCTGTTAATTAATATCATAGTATAAGTTAAGTATTGCAGCAGAATGTAATATCACATTAGATTCTTTTACTTCATGCAGCAAAAAAAGATACAGCATGTACCAGAAGAATTTTAGGGTACAATTCATTGATATGACTATAAGAAATCAATTACACCAGTAAGTAATACTGTATTATGTGCTAAACTAAATCAATAAATCTTATGTTAAACTAATAATCTCATACCAACCAGTCTACCACAATTTACTCATATTAATTGTATTACAGGTTGAAGACAGACGAATAGCATCACCCATATGGAATTATTAGGTGTGAAGTATAATCTAGTAATTAAACACCTGTAGTGGGCTGAGTTGCATTATTTATTAGTATTATTTACTATACCATATTGTTCTAAAACGGCAAGCCATTTTAACTATCTTTTGACAAAAGTAGCTACACTACTATCAAACTGAACACTTCTCTTCTCGTGAGGGAGAGATTTTTAAAGGAAAAATATACGCGAAAATTCATGGATATTTGAATTCGCTGTAAAAGAACTTAATTTCACATATCTTTATCTCTTCCTCCCTTCATAACAAAAAAATTAGCATATACACCTGAACCCTTTGTCTGACCACGATATTGATCACAGGGCGATTCTACCGTGCACGGGCAATGCCTCGAAGACACCCATAGTCAAAACGCTGTAACCTGTTCATATACTCTACCTTTAGCGGCCATGTCTCACAGCCACATAACAGGAGAGAACGAAATGCAGTGTGGTAGGCTTGTCCATTATTGAATAGTTGGATATCTCGTCGCTCGATGTCACAGATGATACAAGTTGACAAATGACAAACCGACCAAATGAAATTCCATCAAAAACCAACCTGTTCGGGCTGATGAAACCCCCAGAAAGTGAAGTGGTCGAGGCATTCCACTCTCTATCCTTAAACTAGGAGTAGTTCCAGACCAGTCCTGAAACATCATCTTACATCTTACAGATGCAAAACGCATGTCAAACATACTCACATTTCTGCTCAAGGCGAAGGAGATCCTGCATTTTGACAACACCTTCATACAGCAGTACAATATTGTCTGCGTACGCGAAGTCAACTAGGTGCCTTACAGAGAGAAGATCAATGCCCGTGAAGCCAGACGTACCTAAGGTCACGTCCATTAGCACACCTAAAACAACAGTAAGTAGAAACGGTGACAACGGGAATCCCATGTGGACACCACTAGTTGTCGTCAGTTCAGATGACAACTCTCCAAAAGCCCTAACATGACTGCAAGAGTTCGAGTAACGAGGTTCGAATAGCATAATACACTTGCTCCATACTCCTTCAACAGTCAGACACTGCCACAACATATCATGGTCGACGGAGTCAAATGCCACCTTCGGATCAAGAAATATGGCAAGAGTTAGCCACCACCGGTGCATATATTTGTAGTCTAAGACCCGTTGAAGGGTGAAAATACGATTGACACACCATCTACGTCTGCAACACACCTATTTTCCTGCTGTTTGTCGTCCTCGAGCTTCACCATGGCGCGGAATATCTATGGACTGAAGAATTTTGAAAACGATATCATCATCATCAACATAGAACCAGTCATTACTGGGTAGGGGTTCACGTTTCCGCTCCTCACATCAGCAGATCAGAAAAAAAAAGCAATAACGTGAAGATGAAGAAGCAAAGAAGGATCTAACAAAAGTAGCAAAAGAGAGGAAGGAGCAATAAAATAGTGAATTCAGTATAATGGTTACGATAAAGATAAAGTCTGGATACATCTCCGCCACTAACATCGATTCTGAGACATATCACCTACAGTATCCAACCATTGATTTCTGTTGTCTCACAAACCCCAACTCAAAAGTCTACATTACCCTACACGACTCGGACCAACAGTCACAAACTTTGTGCACTGATGCCATTTTCTATTCTGGCCACCTGTAACATTTTCCTAGCTTAAACCTATCTCAACTAACATTGCATTGTACGACGAGGCAGACGGTGACTAGGAAAGCAAAACGCATGTCCCAGTCACCTGAGTCGATGAAGGCTAACAATCTTATCAACTAACTCTCCTCTCCTCCCTGAAACTCGAAGTGCCTAAATTCCACATTACTGATGAGGCGACACCAAGACACACAGTCTGTGCTACGAAAGCAAAGGTGTTCGAAAACCGTAAGCCTTCTCATGCTACTTAAAGTTAATGGTAATGTCTCACAGCTATACACAAAACAGAAGGAATTGCAGCGCAGTATATTCGACTGTTAGTAGAAAAACAGATTTTGCAACGGCCTCACAGATGGTATAATTTGGTCAAGGACAGCCGAAACGTTTGCATCTGTGCAGAGATCTTTCCGGACACTGACCACTAGAACTGGTTTAATTTCGCGGTTAAAGTATTAAACGTACTGAACCAATTCAGTCCCTACCGGTAGTCAGAGCACCGCTGAAGACCATTTCTGGAGCGAAAATTTGCATTTAGTTGTTGAGAAACGCATCCCAAACACTCTCGAATTGCGACTCAAGGTTGAAAACGACATCGGTAAAACAGATTACATTACGGTTATCACAAGAAGGCTTATCTCCTATTTTATAAGCTAAGATGATCAGCAAAGTAAACCAGTCTGACAGAACTACCTCCGATTTCTATAAACTACCTAGTACCTCAGTTATTCTAATTAACAATTAGATAAACACTGATTGAGCGGAGAAATATATTTTTTTTCAATTAGGTCTTCATCTTGGGCTCTACACTAATATATAGGTTTACAGTTTAATCAGATTACCAATCACGTGGTGATGTTTCGGAAATAATGATGTAAATAATCAATAGAGCTACTAAAATAGGAAATATGAATATTGATAGAAACAAGAAGGGGAAGAGGTGTACAAAGTAAACCTAGAAGTTACATCATGTTGACGGCCATGGTAATGAAAGTGGTCGAACAAACTTCTTTTGGATACAAGGGCTAGGTTTGTGAAGGTGGATTGCAACCACCTCTGCTATGTGAAGTAACCGAGTGCGTAATCCATGAGGTAAATTAGTTGGAATCTGATGGATGATTTTGAAGGCTTTTCCAGTAACCACTTGATGTTCTGTGTCAACTAAGTGTGCAAGTATGGAGCTCTTTATAGTTGTAATTTGTCCCTTGTTCAACCATGATGGGTGGTGCTCAGAAATTCGACGATGGAACTGCCTCATTGTACGCCCAATATAACTAGCTCCACAGGAGCAGTTGAATTGATAAATGCACATAGAAGTGGCAGAATCAGGCAGTTTGTCTTTATTTCTTGCACCTAGAATCGGGCGGTTGTAGAAGGTGGGACATAATTTAGCGGCTGGGAATGCTTATGCAAGACTCTTTTTATGCGTTGCGTGATGATCTCACTGGCAATATCACTCTTAAATTCCAGATTCAAGAAGATTTGCTTCTTAGGAACTGTTGGCATTGTTTTCTTAACCCTCGTAATATTCATGTGCTTAGTTACAAACTTGTCTGGGTAGCCATTCCTACTAAGCAGATCACGGATGGTGGCGCACTCTTCCTTTATAGCATCCTCTGAGCAAATAGCTGATGCACGGTATGCTAAGCATTTCACTAGGTTCCTTTTGTATTCGAGGGGTACAGCACTACAGAAGTGCGTATATTGACCTATTGATGTTGGCTTTTTGTAAACACTTCGCTTTAGGGTTCCTACCTTCATACTTAAAAACTTCGAGTGGCAAACAGTCAGGTCCTACTGCTTTGCGTTGTTTCAGGTTAGAAACAGCCTTCTCAACTGCAAAAATAACTAGAGGACCTAAATACATGTCCCATCCAGGTTCAGGATAGATGCTAGGGGATTGAAGCGTTGCTGTGAACCAGTTGAACTGTGCTTCAACATGTTCTGCTGAAGTTTCTTGCCATCTGTCATGAGAGGTTATCAGCGTCCCATTCTTTTCGGTGATGGGTTCACCAGTCATCATTTTGTTTTTGCCGGTGTTCTTAATAAGCTTAAATGGTTGTCGGGTGTCTCCTAATGCTGATGCTTACTCCATACGTTTCGTTTTCACCATCCACTACTGCTCGCGATCATTACAAAGACTCTTGGTCAATTTACTTTTCAGCTGCTTTCTCTCCTCACAAAAGTCAGAGCTAACTGAAATGAACCTTCTGATATCAACCAGTTCAGATGACGTTGCGGAAATCCATTAACGTTTGCCAACCTTCAAGTGTAGCTTACCAACTGTCTTCACTGCTTTTTGTACAACAGATCGAACATCATACTAAATTTTCTCAGTACTAGAATTACCGTCGCGTTCAGATAAGTGCTTCGCTCTGTTCTCCCTGAATATGTATTTGATGTTCTCATCCCGGAATCGAGCATGCACAGACTTGAACGTCGGTTGTTTTATACGACCAGTGCGCTGCAGAACATACACGTGCCCGTAGTCCAAACTGGTACTGAAGAAACAGCATCACTCCTCCACCGATGGCTTATAGAAATCTGATCTATCTCCACCCATCGTTGGTTTGATGTCGATGGGCACTATATGAGACAGTGTCTCTCCTTGTGCCCAAAGTTAGTGCTGGCTAATAACAAAATGGCAACAGACGATCGCCCTTATCGGTTCGTTTGCATGGGGTTAAGTAAATAATGAGATATCTTTCCGATTGGTTCAGTTTTAGTACTTGAGTGTTAACGTCACCCGACATTATGACTACATCTGAACGGTTTGCTTTATGCATTAAAACTAATAGCTTCTGATAGAATTCATCCTTTGCGTCATGTGAATCTCTGGATACTCTTAAGGTGAATTTCGAAAGTTCAGCGCAATGATTAGGTAAAGTCAATTTAATAACCAAACACGCGTTCTGTATATGTCTCAGAGATACAGAATACTGCTGCAGACACTCGAGATTCCAGATCTGACGAGTGATGTCTGCTGTCTCATTTGCTAGAGAGTTCGGACGTTGAAAGGTCCTCTATGAGATAGATAGTGGGTAAATAGGAGACTAGGAATGAAATTTTGACGGCTTGGCTCGTTGGCAATGGTCGGAGAGTGAGAGGTTGAGGAAGTTGATGGTGGTTCAATATTGGTATCAGGAGCTGAATGCAAATGAGCAGATAGAGTTCAGGAGGATAGGTTATACCTGATGAGATGTTAAACACTGCTATAGCAATATCATAATATTTTTGATAACTAATTTTTGCGACAAAATACGAATGTAGTGTTTTGTTGTTGTTGAAAGGAACTGAACATTTATTAAAATAACAGCTGTCAAACTTAACACAATCAGTAGAGTGACAGGTGCTTGGCATACTAACTATAAATTGTGTATTACTTGCTTAACAAGAAAAATATTACCATATACTGGATCATACTACAAACAAAATGACTTATTCAGCTTTGCAGATTATTTTTACTCACCGTGATTTTTATTCTAGATTGATTGTAAATTTCACAGATTGTTGTACACGCCAAAGAACATTGCATTAGTGGACAGAAAGATAAACAAAAGAAGTAAAGAATTAAAATCTATATAACCAATACTTCAGGTTGTTACGTTTAATTATTTTTGAAAGCTCAAAGTATAAACTGAACGCGAATGTGAAGATAATAAAACTTAGGTTTTATTCATCAATGTGCATAAGTGACCGTGTGAGAACTCATAACTCCTCAAAGATATGGGACCAGATTGTTTAGTATTGAAGCCAGATGGATTAATGATGAACTAGAATAACTACAGTTGAACTCGATCAGTAAGTATGGTTATCGCTGTTGGCACAAGACCTGGAAGTATAAACGTTTGTCGACAGAGAAAAGAAACATGGTGAATTAGCTGCATTAACTATTATCGATTTGTATGAGAAAAGCAACAGGAAGCATAAGTAAAAGTGAACCCTGATTAGTGGCGAGGCTAATAATTATGTTTGAGAAAGTGAACTAACCATCCAAATACCATTTGTTTGAACGTAGTTGATGCATTAGTAAGCATTACTTAATTGCCATCCAACCCCTCAAGCCTGGATAGAAAATATTAGGGGATGGAAAATACCAAGCCTGATCCACCTGTCAAAATCCTGTGAACACTGTATCGCTTCAGGTGAAGGCATGATATCTTTCATCTTAAAGTACCATATCTTAGAATCAAAAATTTAAGTTGTAAGAATATTTCAGATCGCCGTGAAATCCATTTCGATGAGAAGTGTGGAAGTTTGTAATCAGAAAAAATATACCCTTGAGGATAGCACTGCGTAAAATGCACACTTTGAGTGACAAGTATTCAACATACTCAACTGTTAAGAAATTGTGTCAAAAATTCCAGGTACATATTTTCACAAATAAGATATGGAAAGATATCCGAAAACGTGAAAGTCAATTATTACACTACAACCTAATTTAGATATGTTTGTTATTATAAGATGAAGCAACTGTTAACACATTCGATACCTAGGGAAATTTGTCAGATTTATGATTTTACTGACAAGTATAAATATGTGAATAGTGGGGACAAAAACACCAGATGAATACTGTTACACTGACCACATAGTAATACTCAAAAGGTGTTAGGTTTTTAGGACAACTACCTACTGGTGAAACGAGGTTGCACGACAAGAGAATTAAAATAAAACAATAGTGCACCGATTAGTAGTAAACTACATTTATAAAACCTAAATAAATAAATGAAAACAGATTTTGGGATCGTCAGACATCATCCAACCAAACTATTCGTACTTCAAAATTCTTGAAATAGATCAGAAGGCTAACATTTTTGCAATTATACGAAAGTGAGTGAAGTACCGAAGCACTTCGGTTACCGGATATCAGAGAACTCAAGCATGATGTGTTGAGTTTGCAGAGCTTGGAATACACTTGTAATCTCAATGGTTTTCTATGAGATGGATTAAAACGTAACCATAGGATAATGATAAACTTATTTCACAAATATATTCCGCTTTACGAACACTAGAGTAGAGTCGGAACAACGATTGACCTGGTTGACTAATATTCTACTGTTTCTCTGATTCATTGGTACCCTCTTTGACAGCCCGTTTTCTCAAATTATACAAAATTTTGATAATGGTTCTATTAACTCAGCACAACTTAATAAATTATTAAAAAATTTGCCTGTCATTCATCATCAGCTAGCTAACTTGTTAATCCTTTTGCATAACATTTTGTTATTATTCATATCATTTCCGGCAACTCTTTTTTGAATCAAATAACTGAAACTTCGTAGCATGTCTTGTTAACTTTATCTGGATGTTAGTACTCTTTATTAAACCATGTCGTTCTCTGTTAGCTAACTTCATTTAATTGCAAAGAAGTATGTTCAAAGCCTTTTGTAATATGATGTTTTAGGATGCAAGCAGCTGACGAAAAACTAGCGAAGTAAAGTAGGTTTATTAGTAAACAGATACAATTGCAAGGATTCTTAACCAAACTGTAAGAATAAACTCCCTATATATTATATACACAACAAAATATTTATAGTCAAAAATATTGTTAGTATAGAAATGTATTTGACATCGTCTTAGTTTGATGAAGCAGTTACAAGTAATGGGGTGGTAACTGAAGTTGAGGCGCTTTATTTAAACAGTAAACGAATTAAGATTTGCGTTTAAACTTCAATCACAAAGACATTATTTGATGATAAAAATCTGCTACATTCTTCATATAACCTTAGTTATTAACATCCCACTTAGTGTAGAAACATTTCAATTACGTCCACCCAACTGAGATTACAATCCAGAAAGCCTTGAAAGTAATTTTCACCTTGTTCACGTGATAAGTAGCTGCGAATTGATCTTTTTGTAACGGTTATCGACAAGTTTCAGCATTTCCTTGAGATATCAACAATAATGACGACTCAAGTGATGGTTTGTGGGGATTGGTTGATTTCAAGACAATATACATCGCAGGCCGGACTCGGTTGGAGAACCATTAATAACCAGGGAGCTCTCCTTAGCCGCTTCGTCCTAGCATGGTACTGATCAGCATTACAAACAAACAATTTTATGGAGGTTCGAGCCCAGGGCCCTTAGGTTTCGGAGTCAGAACGTCACCATTCAGTCAATATGTTGCAAACCCAATTTGTGACAGGATGTGACCCCAGTCCAGTGCCATCTTAGAGTGCTTGCCCTCAATTGGTTGACACCACAGGCAACGGCTTATCCACAGAAATTGAGGGGATCTATTTAGAAACATCTTACTAATGAAGTAGAGACAGCAAACAAGTTAGTTCTTTGAGAACAAATACTTCACAAAAGAATGAGATATTGGTAGAACAATATCACGATATAGAAATATGAAAATGTTAATCACACGATTCCGATATATTGAATGCATGGTAATGTGTACTTTGTTATATCAGAAAGTCTTTACCTCGAAACTCACGGTGGTCCCAACCAACAACTGATGCCTTGATATGATGATCACGCGTCCATATCACAATGATCCAACGAGCTACACTGGCTGAAACTCTTGTTCCCTCGAGGTCTCGTGATCCTGTAGCTGCAGGTATAGCACAAGGTGGACTACTATACTGGATCCCGGTTGACAATCGCATATATGCTGCTTAACTTAACAGCTGTAGGCATAGAGAATAATGCCACCAGTTAACGCAGGAGAGGGTCAGTGGAAGACTAGTGATCCCCCTGGAAAGTGGTCATGCATCGTATGTCTATGCCTAAATGGACGCGGGAAAATGACAACAGCAAGACCTTTGCGAGTGATGCATGACGATGAGAATACTAGGGCTACTTTCAGCAGGGAGCTAGCTAGACAGTTGACAACACAGAACCAAATCACTCATCCAGAAGAAGTCTGGCGCCATCCACAATCTGTTGTAAAAGCAGCGTTGGTGACTGTGACTGGCCCTCAAAGAGTGGTTAGAAGAGTCTGTGGATCTTAACAACTTCCGAATTAATGGATGCACACGAACGTATTCCTGTATTATCCGAGCCCAATAGGGCGAGGCGACGATTCAAATATTGACACACAGAAATTTCTTGCAGTAACTACAAACACTGATGGGTGTCGAAAGCCAAAGAGATGGAAACGGCAATGGTGATAGTTAACACTAGGGAACTTGGGTGATGAGGTCACTGGTTGGTGAGATGATAGCAAAGAAGGATGGTTCTACGATTCACTAGCAGGAGAGACGAAAGTTGGGCAGGACGCTTCGAGGAATAGTTCAACTGGCCTTCAACTACAATTTTGTCTTCCGCTGTCCTGTCGTATACCGAACGGAACATCAAAATAAGACTCCTAACACTTGCAGAAGTCAAAGAACCTGTTAGTAATCGGAAACGAAGAAAGGCAGCATAGCCATGTAGAATTTGATGATGGTGGTTGAGGTTTATTGGTCAGATTAACTCATGTTAACTAGTGTTTGAGAGTCAGATATGATCTTCTCTGACTGGTCTCAATCTCCGATTTTTTAAGCCTTTAACAAAGGTGAGAAATCTTCTTGTGATAACTAAAATACTGTCTAAGGGGTTTTGCCTACTCAGCGGTCTGAGCTGTCATTTTACGTGAATAACAAACTTCATTGCTGAAGTTGATTTGTAAGTAATATATTATCAAAGTGAAGTCTGCGAAATAATAACCTTATACATATAAATAATTTGACACGCTTGTGTATTGAAAGAAATGATAAGTAGCAGTAGCACTAGTAAAAATATAAAGAAGGGGTCAAAAAAATGTTAATACTGTATTGTTGCTTTTCAAAAGAAAACTTCATAAGGTCAAGCTAAAATCAACTGAAATGAATCATATGAATTCAAATGTGTAGATATCACTTTGTATGCTAATCCATAAATGCTGAGGAAAAAGAACATATCACAAGGTGTAAAACAGTTGTACTGATTTAATTAACTACGTAAAACATGATTTTCTTAAAGCCAATCTTGTGAACAAGAGGAGTAAGCAATGCTCTTATTCTGTTTAATATGGTGACGAACCAGTGTATATATTTTGAAGAGAAATAGGATATAAATGTTATAGCTAACAGATAGTAACCAGTGTCATGCACCAACCTTCAGTGCTGATCGAGGACCTACAAATTAAGGAATGAAAGTGAATTACATAATCTTGAATGTCATATACTATCTGTCCGGTCAGCAAGAAATCCTTGCAGTTCCATATACACTTTGCAGACAGTTTTCAACAAGCACCAACCAAAATTTGTGGGATTTTATCCTGACCAACTTCAAAGATTTAGCAATGAGAAGTGTGGTGTAACGGACCTCACACAAAAACATCATATTTAGTGGGAATTTTGAAGATAAACTACTATTGAATAGGACAGACTAATCAAACTTGCCACCTGTTGATTACGCTACATCAGGCTAAGAAAGCAATAGCATCTCTATCCTGTTATCGTTAAGTGTGATAATTTGTTGGTTGGGAAGTTGAAACTCGACTTCATTAAATTAC